GTCGCTGTTGATGGGTACCGATCGAAAGGTCTTGAATCCGATTTCCGTCATGAAGTTGGAGATGTAGACTGCCTCGCGAGCACTGAAGCTCAGCGCTTGAAGTTTGGCCTCCACGGTGTTCTGTGCTGCGAGAGTCTGTGCCTTGGCTCCGTAGCTGATCAGTCCCCCTCCTAGGAAGAACAGGTATCCGGTGGTAGACCTGCCGTTGTCTGGGTTGGCTCCAAATGACGAGTCAGTGAAGCACGAGAGTCTGAACTGCCCCTTCTTGTACACGATCGGCAGGTCCGGCGTTCCGCGTAGGTACCGTAGTAGGTGCTTGGCCGCAGCCATGTGGACCTGTGCTGGGTTTGCGCATGCCCGTGTCAGTTGGTGCACTGCGTATGACAGATCGTAGCGGGTGCATTGGGCAAGGTACAGGAGACTCCCGGTGATGGCCTGGAATCTCTGCTTGTCCTCGGGTCCGAGTAGTTGGTCTTGTGGCTGCTCGGTTGATAGTTCTGCTCCATACCCGGGGGTGCTGACCGGGTTTGCCTGTTCCATTCCGTATCGCTGTAGGATATCTCTCGCGTAGGGTCCTTGCGATATGGCTAGTGTGCCATGTTCGTAGTCCCGCTGCACTTCGATGCCGATTACGCGCTTGACCTCTCCCATGTCTGTCATTTCGAAGCTGTCCATGAGTTCCTTCTTTTTCCTGCTTACGATCTCCTTGTTTCCGCCCGTGATGAGGATGTCATCGACGTAGATCGCGAGGATTGTGAGTTCGTCCCCGCTTACGAAGATGTAGACACAGGGGTCAGAGCGAGTGCGCTGCCAGCCGAAGATGATGAGTCTGTCATTGATGGCGTCGTTCCACAGTGACGGGGACTGTGACAGGCCGTACAGACTTTTCTCCAGTTTGTAGACCATCATTTCACCTGTCGTAGGGTCCCTCTCCTCGTCGCCTGGCGCCGGCCTGACGTAGACGTCTCTGTCGGTGTACGCGTTCAGGAATGCAGCTACCACGTCCAATTGGTACACCTCCCATCCGTGTTCGCAAGCGATGGCGAATAGCATGCGGATGCTACCCAATCGGGTTACTGGAGCGTAGTTCCTTCCGAAGTGTCGTCCTGCTCGTTGGCGGTGTCCCCCCGCGACTAAGCGGGCCTTGAAGCGGCTGTCGGCCTTGATCTTGAACACGAAGCGTGTGTCGAAGATGTCCTCATCCTTCGGTACCAGGCTGATGCGTACTTTCTTAAAGACTTTGTGCTTGGCGAGATTACCCATCTCGGTGTCGATAGCGCTCTTCCACTGCTCGCGTTGTGGTGAGTTCATGGCTTCGGTGTACGTGCTCGGAGTTTTGATCTCTTGGTGTGTCTCCCCCAAGAACCCTTTGCTCGAGGTGCCCGTGGCGTAAGCATACGCCCGGACTTCGGCGAAGGGGTCTTCATCCAGGTGAGCAAAATCCGCCGCGTCAGTAGGGCATCGTTGCTGCGCTTGGTGGGTGAGATCGAGTAGTTGATCCTCGGTGAGCTCCAGTGGGTCGGGGTGGCTGACAGCCATGGCAGAGCGGCCTCTGTCGTTCATGTTCACTTCCAGAGATTTCGGGATGCATGAAGGGTCGATAGGGTCATCTGTGGGTTGGTGAGTGCGCGTGGCAGGACGGGTCACCGTTAATCGACGCATTGGGATGGGGGCTGGCGAAGCGGAGTCCGTGTCTGTTGGCGTCGTGGGTGATTCGAGTGTCGTGTCCTGCGATGTCCTGGATGGTGTCGTAGTCCGCGGGTTGTTGTTGCTGTCAGCTCCCCCAGCAGCAAAGTAGTTGTCGGAATCCATGCCCGCGTTGTTTTGGCGAAGTTCTGCTCGGCTGATGTTGTCTTGCTGCATGTTGCGCATCTCGTGCAGCAGGAGCTCTGATTGTGTTCCGTAGTCCACTTTGTTGTCTTCGTCGCCCGTAGAGGTACGGCGTCCGAGCAATGACGTGAAGTTCATCACGTCCTGTTCATATCCGAGACGGTCGTCCCACCGGTGAGGGGGGATGGTGTTGGGTGGAGTCTCGATGAAAGTCACGTTCCGGCTCTCGTAGACCTTGTCTTTGCCCTCCACGTAGATCCGGTACGTCTTGCTGTCAGGTCCGTAACCGCAGAGCTTGCCTTCAAAGGCCCGATCGTCTAGCTTCTTCTTGTATCGCTCGTGATGAACGAACGCGCGGGCGCCGATGGCACGAAGTCGAGAAAGGTCCGGGGTTGTGTTGTACATCTTGGAATACGGCGTGGCTCCCCCTAGCGCCGCGTGTGGGGTCCTGTTGGTCAGGTATGCTGCAGTCATCATGAGCTCCCCCCACATGTGTTTTGGGAAGTCTCCATCGCGCAGTAGAGCTCGAGTCACAGCCGCAAGTGTCTGGCCATCCCTTTCTGACACTCCGATTTCTTGGGGCGTGTTGGTCGCGGCGAATTCCAGCTTGATCGCAGACTCCCTACAGTAGTTGCGCATTTCTTCCCCAGTGTTCTCTCCGCCTTTGTCACAACGTAGAACCTCGATGCGGTAGCCTTCAGATGCTACTTGCATGTTGTAGGCGTGCAGAGCTTGCGTGGTTTCGGTCCTGTCGCGCAGTAGGTACACTTCCCGCATTCTGGTGAAGACGTCGGTCGCTTTGGCGACATAGGAGTAGGTGCGTCCGTTGTACTTCGCAGGCGGGTCGATTGGTCCCATGTTGTCGAACTGGACGAGTTGGCCTGGTTTGGTCAGGACACGGCTGGTCTTCTTCGGGACGGGAGCCTTCTTGTGCTTCGTGATTTGGCAGTTGTCGCACGGGGATACAGGTCCGTCATATTTCACACCTGTGGCGGGGTTGCGCCGCAAAATCTCCATAGCACTTGGATTGATGTGGCCGAGGCGCCGGTGCCAGAGGTCGGCGCTCACGCTCATCGCCACTGAGCATGTCGCGTGCGGAGTGTGATCGATCTGTACCGCTTCTGGTTTTCCGAACTTCGGCTTCCGCCCTGGTTCTTGGTTGTTCGGGGGTGTCTTGCTTGTCGACGCTGGATCGCCCTTGAATGTGATGGCGAGGGTGCACATGCCTTGGTCTTGAGTCTCTTGTTTCAGAGGAACGACGACTTCTCCGCCAATGGTGAGGTGTGGGGTCTTGTCTTCCAGGACACATCGGAGGCCCTTCTTGAGAAGGGCCGTTGGTGCGAAGATGTTCCGGCCTAGTCCTGGCACGATGAGACCTTGTAGTTTGACGGGTAGTTGCTGTTCTTTGTCGTCTTCGATGGTGCAGTGTAGGATCCCAGTGGTAGTGCCTCGTAGTTGGCTTTCTCCTGCAACGTCGATGATCTTGGGCGTCGGGCGTTCTTCTTCGAGACGTCCATTCGGGATGAGGCGGTCGTCGAACATGGTTTCAGAAGCTCCAGAATCCACCAGCGCGGAAGTCCCAGTTGCAGTTGTCGTGAAAGTGCGTCCGCTTCCCTTGCTGCATGTAGCATGGTACATGAATCCACCCTTGAATGCATCTTCGTCGTAAGAGAAGTCGATCTCTGCCTTTTCGGTCTTCTCTGTTTCTTTGGGAATTTCTGTTGTGGTAGGCTTGGCTTGTATGTCTCTTGACTGGGTTGAGCAGTGCACGCAGTGTGTGCATGCAGAAAAGGCCTTGCCCGTGCGTTCTGGTCGCTTGGCTCCTTGGTTGTAACACTCTTCGTCGGAGTGTGTAGTGGTGTTATGGACGGAGCACCACTTGGTTGCTCCCGCAGGCTTCGTCTTCTTTGCCCTATGGCCCTCCCGCTGGCGATTGGGACAGTTCCTCCTGACATGTCCCGGTTCGTTGCACTCGAAGCAGATGGGGCCAGATGTCTTGGTAGCCATGGCGAATCCGCGGCCAGCGATTTGGCCCTTGGTTCTCTTGCGCATTTGCTCGTCAAGGAAGATGTTGCGCATGGTGGCTTGCATCTGTTGTACGTCGAATGATGGGTCGCGGAAAACCATCATCTTGATGTCCTTGTAGTCCTCGGAGAAACCTTGCACACAGATGTCCTTGAAGCGGCGATCGGAGATGGTTTCCCCCATTTTCTCTAGTTGAGAGCGGAGGCGGTGTTTCTTGTTGAAAAAATCGTCCGGGTTCTCTCCTGGCTCCATGACCGTCCTTTCCAGGTCGTCCAGTTTAGCCCTGATCACTTCATCTGTCACTCGATTGTAGTTGGCCTTCAGTTCCGCGAATGCTGCCTGCCCGTCGCCGCTTAGGCCGGTGTCGTCTTCGTGCTTGTGTACGGTTAGTGCAGCCGGCAGTTCGACGAGGCAGAATAGGATTGCGTAGAGGTCTTCGTTTGCTCTCTCGTATGCGGCGAAGGTGGTGTCCGAGGGATCAGGCCTGCGCATTCCCTTGAGAAGTGGCATGATGTCCCTCCGAGTAACGCCGACGACTACACCCAACTTCTTCATCCATTCATTGAAGTCCTCTGGTTTCGTTCCATCGAACTTGGGGAGTCCTCTGATGACGTTGGCCAGGTTTGTGGATCCATCACTCCAGATGCTGCCTCCGCCTCCAGTTCCCGATTTTGCTTCCATTTCTGGTTTTATCCTGATGATCTCGTCTTGAATATTTTTGTTGGTGTATTACTCAGCTATCTGTCGCTGAGATTTTTCCAGCCCCGCTCCTTCTATTGATATAGAGGACTCCGGTTGCCGATTCGTGACCCCGCTTCTGAAACCCTTTTCTCACCTAGATAGAGAATCGGTGAATAGAACTCCGGTTGTAGGCCAATTTGCGACCCCGCTCCTGATACCCTTTCCTCACTTAGGGAATCGGTGAATAGGACTACAGTTCCCGGTCGCCTTTCGCCGTTGATACAGTCTTCCCTCCTGTCTCCGCAGAAGTATTTGCTCGATGTCTACATCGAGGCTTCCCGCGCAACACTTTGCTGTTTGTTCACCACAGAGGTACCAACTACTGCTGTTGCAGCAGTGGTAACGTGTGTGTATAATGAAGTCTCTGCCCCTTGGTGTAGATGACCAAGTAGTGCGCTCACTTTCGTTTCCGCTGACCGTTGATGATCTCCCAAATCTCCGAATCCAGATTTCCGCTCGAAGTCCACAGACGGATGTTGTAGTCCACAGCAGTAGTAGGATGTCTTGACCTCCGTCGTGACGTCCGCAGCTCCTAGTGTTCGCGTAAAGCGAGGCTCATAACCTCACAGAATGTGGCGTCTTGCAGCAGCGGAGGTGGCGGTGCCGCTGTAGCTCGTAGACTTTGTAGTCTACCACAGAGGTTACACTGCTGTCACCGCTCTATCACAGAGGTTGGTCTACACTGCTGTGAGATCGGTAGGCCCGAGCGAGCTCTGGAAAGAGAAATGTAGATAGATTTTCTTATCAACTGACTCCCTGGTCAGGCTTTGATGGGTGCTAGATGAGAGTGAGCACAAGGGGCGAAGGCGCGCTTGTGTCTCATCTCAACAACAAAACAAAAACAGAGAAACAAGGAACAAAAAAACACGACAGCTTCCGAGGGTTCTCGGGGTAATGGCCCGAGTACCGGAATTTCGGGGTTCGGAACAATAACATAACTGCAGTCTCGCCTGCCAAATTATCTCCGCTACAACTCTGTGCTCATGTTCTCTGCTGATTACCATCTCTTCTTTCTGTATTATGTCTACGGAAGGCTAGTTGCCGCAGTCGCACCTATGGTAAACTGTGCCTGACTACGTTGTAACAGTTTTCCTCGACAACAGCCACACATATCATGTTCGTAGACTACATTATGGAGAGCTCACGATTATTCCGCGAATTAGACCACTGTAAGGGTGTACTTACCTTCAATATTTATTCAATAGCCGATGCTGGGGAAGGATCGAGGTCGCATATTTTCAGCCCGCCGCCGTCCGTTGTAGTCTATGGTTGTCGAAGGTTTCGTTTGGGTGCATTGCGGCTGGAATAGACCAAAACAAAACACGGTGGTGGATGGGTGTACCTAAACCGAACACTGCATGCGTGGGAAACGCTTTACAATTGTGTCGAGGGTGTGCCGGACAATCATGGAATCACCGCCGTTATCACGCCCATCATCTGCGTTACTGGGAAAACTCCGTGAAGGTCAACCGGACGAAAGGGCGTTTAATCTCAACGTGATTTGGATATATTCGTTTCTCACTCCCGCAAATCCCGGATTGTGCAGATGAAGCCTGGTCTTTCCCGTCCAGCTCAGCCCAATTTTGATCAAGAGAGCAAACAAATGGTACGATAGATGGCGTGTAGCTTCTGTCCATTTATGTTGACATCCCTTTGCGGTACACGCTTTGGGGGGCGGCGGTTATACGTTCGGGGCGTCGGTGACTCATGACAAGCTTGTTTCCCGACCATCTACCTGCCAAACGAGACGAAGACGTTCATGGCACCTTCACACAACTCCCGGGTGTACTTGTATCGTCTTGCCATGACAACACAGGATCATTGATCTTGTGTGAATTCACGCCAATGTAGCCGTAACCCTAACTCCCACAACCTCGCCGAAACGTCGGTTCGATATGGTGGAGGGCGACCAAGAGGCCCTTCAAATCGTGCGGTGAAAACACACTCTCTTGCACAGAGACTAGGGCCAAGCACCACCATGTTTCCGTATCGTGATCATCGGGATCAAGTTTGTTAGATGGCTAAATCATGTCCCAACCCCTCTCATTGCACGCGAACAGTCCCAATCTCATCCATCTCTGAATCAAAGCCTCGCAAAAAGGCTGTGCTACAAACCAGTCATTGATCATCCTCGTTACTCCGACTTTCTTCATACCGCCTGCTATTGGCCCCGCATAGTCCTGTGGACTAAAACTCCAAGGATTTTGTTAAGTATTCTATATTCCTTAACATCAATATGCGAACATCTATTTATCCTCCTGAATCATTATGACTCCTGGCCCAAACACTGCACGACAAAACGAAGCCTGTTCCCCCTATTTTTTCCCTGAAAGGCCCCATAATGTGTACATCTGGGCAGACAATATTCAGCGCAAACAAGACCAAAGGAAACTTGAGCAAGGAGCGAAAGGAGTCGTCAGTCAGTCAAGTTCCAATCGTGTCGACGGGGGTCCGCCGCGCAAGAGATCCGCCATCAGGCATTGCTGCATGTTGCTGGGAGGCGTGCGCACAGAGCTTGTCTAGTGTTAAAAGGATGTTTGAGTGAGTGGTTTGAAACACCATATAAATTTCCAGCAAAATGCTCCCTCCCCCGCACGCCCCTGTCTTCGTTCGTTCCTCGGTGTCACAGAACAGCACTGATTAACTTACGCGCAGGAAACGCTACACATAATTCTCAACACCTGGTATGCACGGTAGAGGCTTGAATCGTCTATGGAGCTGTCGGCGAACTGAACACAGCATTTGTCAAATTCTTTCGATATCGGTCCTCCACTTTACATTTCTTTTAGAAGGTGGATGGCACCCTACAAAAATAAATAAATATAATCAAAGAAACTCCCTCATGGGTCCACCTGTGCCATGAGATTCATGAAACTTCGAAAGCCGGCCTGATCTACAACATGAATTCCGCCTCGTTCAAAGACGACGCATCCAGCGATGGGTTTGTCGCACGGGTTGACCCAAACGACAGCTGCTGCAGGGAGGCCGGCCACACAATAGCGGCGATGGGTTGGGTGAACCAAGAAGCGAACGACAGCTCCTGTAGGGAGGACGGCCACGAGACTCTGGCGATGGGCTGATTGAATCTTGACCCGAACGATAGCCGCTGCAAGGAGGCCGGCCACACGACTCCAGTGATGGATTGGTTGAAGTCACGACCGAACGTTAGATCCTTCAACGAGACCGGCCACTTGACTCTGTGAATAGGTTGGTTGAACGTTGACCAAAACACCAGGTGCTGCAGAGAGTCCGGCCAAACAACGGCCGATATTGGTTGGTTGAACCAATACCCGAATGATAGTTGCTGCAAGGAACGCGGCCACAGGGCTCGGTCGATGGGCTGGTTGAAAAATGACCCGAACGATAACCGCTGCAGGGACGCCGGCCACACAACGGCGGCAACTGGTTGGTTGAAGTCACGACCGAACGATATTTCCTTCAACGGGCGCGGCCACACGATTCCAGCTACTGGCTGGTTGAACCGAGCGCTGAACGATAACCGCCGCAGGGAGGCCGGCCACACGACTTCGGTGATGGGTTGGTTGAAGTCACGACCGAAGGACAAGTGCTGCAGGGATGCCGGCCACAAGATTCCGGCGATGGGCTTGTTGAATCGAGTACCGAACGACAGCCGCTGCAGGGAGGCCGGCCACACGACTTCAGCAATCGGTTGGTTGAAAAAATCCCCAAAAGCAGCTTTACGCAGGGAGGTCGGCCACGTGACCTCGGTGATGTCTTGGTTGAAATCACGACCAAACGAAATCTCTTGCAGGGAGCCCGGCCAAACGACGCTGACCACAGGCTGGTCGAACCGAGCGCCGAATGTTATCTGTAGGAGCGATTCCCCCCACACTGCTCCAGCGATTGCCTGGTTGAAAGCATTTCCAAGCGTCACACTTTCCAAGGAAGCTGGCCACGACCCTGCGCTTATAGCCGCTTCGAAGCCTGTTTCCAAAGCCAGCCGTTTTAGATTCTGGGGCCAAGCCACCGACACTAGGTCCGATGGCGACAAAGATTCCCTCAGCTGCAGAAACTCCAACTTTGTCCACAACTCCACAGCGACACCCTGCAAAAGGATTTCTGTGGGAAGCGCCCAAGTCAACCCAAGAGCCTGCCCGACCGGCACACGACTCGAAATACGGGCCTTCGAGCTGTGTGCGTGCGCCCTGCTTTGCATCCCACGGGTGTTCGAGCTGCGGGTGTGCGCCCTCGTTTGCATCGCACGGGTCTTCGAGCTGCGCGTGTGCGCCCTCGTTGGCATCGCATGCGGAGACCACAAGCTAGGAGGCGTGTTGGCATCAACACGGACGTGTATCGTCGGGACTCTTCTGCACGCCCTGCAGGTCTCCAGCGACGCCAGCCGTAGCTCCAGCGTAGACGTGTACCAGCGCTTCCCTCTACCTTCATATGCTTGGCTTATGGCGATGATCAAGGCGTCGAAGCCCCGGCTTGCTCCTGACGACAGGCAACGGAATACGTCGCGACGACATGACACAAAATCGAACGTGAGAGTTGAAGTGCGCAGTAAGCTATCTCATTCAACCTACCGGACATCATGCGGAAAGAAAAACGTGGAGAGGACACCCTCGTTGGGTTCGCAAGTGTGTGAAAAGTCGTTCCTCATTCGGTATCCTGACATGATGGCGACGACGCTTAACCATGGCATGCTCCAGCGGTTTATTTCGACCTTTCCGCATGCATCTCCTACTGCAATACTACAACACAGCGCAATCGACAGAAAAAGGTGTATGGGGGAGGGGGTGATAGAGGAGGGCAAACTAGTAGTTCTGTCGGGAAACGACCCAAAGGCCCCACGCCGATCGGTCAAGAATACCGAGTTCCGTTTTCCCGACCTTATTTCTCGAGTCGGCTTTCACCGTGTACCACTTCGCTAGATGCGACGTGTCGGACCTCTCAACTCACCATTTTTATGGGCGGAACAACACGAAACATGGACCCAGATCCAAACGAACCCATCACCATGGGTCCAACTCATCCACAGCCAAAATTCGAGCACAACAACATCACATCACACTTAGGCCTCTTGACCTCTGCAACCTCAACGGTGTTCCGACCACCTCGTCTTGCCACCACAGAACCACACAAAACATCACCACCGTCCCCGCGTGCATGCCACATACATTTCGAGACCGAACATCCACGTGTGTGGGTCCACAGCCCAAGCTTCCCTCTCTCACACAAGCACACACACGCAAACACACCTAGGTGGATCTACACGCAAACCAACCATACAGCCTACGTGTGGGCCAAACCATACATCGGACTGTCACAAGTGAACCAGGTGTATCGGCAATCGTACGCAATGGACACTTCTCCGTCCTCGCTGCTGTGTGCGGTAGTACTGTCGCACGTGGGCTCTCCCCGAAATATTAAGCTGTACTGAGGGATTACTTTGAAGCTAAAGTAGGCAGACGTTTCCTGGGTCGCTGAAGAGGGGAGAGGTGCACAACTCCCCACCCTTACAAGGACAAATATGTGCACGGCAGGACGGGTTTCTGTGTGATATACCGGATCGAAGCTGTTCAGCCAGACAGTCGGACAAGCAATACGACTACGTAGCTTAGATACGGGTAGAGCTATTAGCACCGGTCGCCCCGGTGGTCTAGTGGAATCCTCGTAATCCGCTAGTCGCAGAGGTCGTGAGTTCGAATCCCCATGGGGTGAAAAAATAATCGAAATGTGCGGGTGAAAGCGGAATATTGCTGACAGCTCTCGTGAGTACCAAACTTCGACGTCAGCACCGGTGACGAGGGAAAGGGACGGCTGGACCCTTTTCGCGATAAAAATGAAATTCAGAACGCACCGCAGGAGGAAGGTATGGCATGAAAAGAAACAAAAAGAAAAAAGCCCTAGTGTATACCCCGTCCTGTGTGACCCTGGATGGTTGAAGTTGTACGAATAAATACACTGAAAAGTGAAGTACTCTACATACGCTGAAATGTGTAGTACACGTCTCACCACGAAAAATGGGGGGACTGTCGNGTTGTACGAAAAAATACACTGAAAAGTGTAGTACTCTACATACGCTGAAATGTGTAGTACACGTCTCACCACGAAAAATGGGGGGACTGTCGCCATAATAAATAGGACGAAAACACACAACACACACTAGACCGATTCGGGCTGGAAAATTGTCCATAATTAAGCTATCAGATTTAGAGATAGGCACTCTCTCCTTTCTTCCCCTCGCTCCACGACAAGCTTTTGCTTAGACATGGGTTGTAGCGAAGGGGGTGTACTCATAGTCGTGCATGCCGTAGTCGTTAGACCATTGACCTCGCATCCCTACAAAGCCGGGACGGAGCACGCCGGGTTCTCACCGGACCAGGCTCTCACATCACCAAGCGCGAAGCGCCGTGAGAT